CATGTAGTAGTGTTTATTAACTACTCAATTTTGTATTATTAAATTCTGGGTAGTAATAATAAGAGTGTACACCATTTATTTCATTTTGCTTTTGACGAATGTTCTGTTGAGGAATTTGCTGTCCATCTCTAGAAAAAGAATAGATCACTCAGCTCCAAACACTGGTTCAACCGATGACCATGACCAACTAGTAATTTTTGTTCTTCCACTTATGTTCCAAATGTTTCCACATTTCTGCTCCTGCAGAGACATTGTATTTTTAAGGAGATTATAAATTTAGTTCTCAACATTAAAAACAAAATGGTCGGTGATTAGCAGGCTTTTCTGTGTGTTCTTATTTACTGTGTTATCTAAACATCAATTAATAAGAAGTACTTACTGAGCACCTATTGTATGCTCAAAATGCTCAAAGTACAGTAATATGTAAGTAAGAACATGCTTTCTGCCCATTTGTTTCCAGGTTAGATTTTTTTTTTTTAATGTATGCTCCTATTTGGGTGAAAGTTTAGAATTTGAGAAAGCTAGTGCTTCTGAGGTAATTTTTTGTGGCTCACGATGTCTGAAATAAAATGAAAATAGAAAAAATTGTTATGAAGGAAATAGGGCTTAGGGGAGATCGAGGCAATCCTGTACACTCAATTCCCTTGTTAACCCTTTAACTACTGAAGACGAGTATACACGTGGCCCAGTGCCTTTCCTGGGGGCCTGTGGATGTGTATAAACGCGCTGACTCAGTTCTGGCCCATTTGGAAGCGTTATTGTTTGTCACTCTCAGTGTCACGTAATGCAAACAGATCCCAATAGCGAAAAGGTTAAAAAGAGCAGTCTGGGTTGTGCTGCTGTTATGAATCATACCTAGTGGCAGCGCTAGTTAACATTTTTAGAGGGAAGCCATTCTGATTGTGCATCACTTTTGTCAGCTGTCCAACATTTTGTGTTTTTTATTAGTTACTTTGTAATAATTTCTGGTCACAACATAAGAGGTAAGTAAAAACTAGTAGGAGGAAAGCGCTGGCAAGTTTTGAGTAGAAAATACTAATTTTAGTTTTATAAATACATAAAATAAATGTTTAAATAAAAGCAATTATATAGTGTTTTAATTATCCTATCCATATTCCCGAATCCTAACTTCAAAATATAAATTTAACAAAATTTGTAACTGTGATGTGGCTTGTGTGAATCTTGCCTGTTGTACCAAATGGCCCGAATTTTAATTGAGTTTGAAACCCCTGCTCTAGAGGAATACAAGAGGTTCTTTCTCTCCACTTTTCCTTCTATCCTTTAAAAAAAATTATAACTGGAGCAGACAGATCTCTTTCATAGGACTAAGATGTAGGAATACAATCTGTAGTACCTTAGACTTATGTGGTTTTCTCCTGCTTAAAAAATTTTGAAATACTCTTCTTTTAAATAAATCCAAATTAACTGAGACTTTTAAGTACATAACTTCAGTTTTGAAAGCAACATCTTAAGTAGAAGTTTTGCATTGTTTTAAAAATTAATTTCGGTGGGGTTCTTGATGAAAAATTTGGTCTATATGGACCAAATAGACCGTTAAAAAATAAATAAATAAAATAGAATAAAAATTAATTTCAATTCCAAAGTAATAGGACCTTTCATAAATGTGGATTCAGTGGGAGGTAGTGTAAGAGTCATTTGGTTCAAAAAGAAAATACATATGTCATAGTGTGCACTCGTATATGAAAGTTTCAGCTTCAGTATCATAGTCTTTGATAATTTTGTTGCCAATTTTAGGAAGTTAATTTAACCTGCTTTTTAGAACTGTGATCTAACATTTTGGGGCATCATGCTGTGGCACAGAGATAAGAGTGAGTCAGTGTTGAAAGTACGCTTCCCAGACAACACAGGTGATATTCAATGAAATACAAGCCATGCTGTCATTATACTTACACAAGCATGAAAACATACAATTATGTGTTTTCTTTTTGGTTACCTACATCTTCAATATTTTCCATGCAGTAGAGTACTGATGTAATAAATTATACCTTTAAATTTATTTTTAATACTAATTTCCAAAAGACTGGAAAAAATAAAAATTTTGTTATTGATTGTTTTAGGGTATTAATATTAGTTGTGATACAGATCTCTTTTATATGTCTTCTAGATATTATTAATAAAGTTACTTGTAAATTAAAGTTAATATATAAAAGAATTACAAGTACAAGAAAGCAAATGAAAAGCTTTAGGAATGATTTCATAATTTTTACTACTCATGATTTGTTTCCTTGCTATTTAGAATTAAAGTAGCATTTTAAATACATAATTACTTTTTTCTCTTATTTGGATTATTGAATAGAGGAATCATATGAAGGGCATGTTTAAAAAGTCTTACATAAAAGGTTACTTTTAGATATGTCAGTTATATATGAGTTTATCAAGACCTTTAATACAAGTACTGCTTGTGTATTACATTAGAAATGAAAATAGTATAAGCTTAAAAATCTTACTTGTTAATAGTTTTTCTTTTAATTGTTAAGATTTTATTGTCTTGATTTTTAATCAGTGGTGTACTTTTGTTAATGGTTTACTGAAAAATGTTTGCTTTTTCCAATAATAGCACACAGACTTTCAGAATTAAGTCTCAGTTGTTTTCAAAGTGATTTGGTTTAAATGGATAAAACAGATGTAGAATTCAGCATAATACTAAGCTTTTGATACCTTAGAAAGTTTATTTTCTAATGCTAATTTATATTCTATTCTATACAAATCGATATATTTTATAGGCATTATAAAAATAAAAATCACAATCCATACATCCATCCATTGTGTGAAGCCCATTTGTACATTTGTTGCCATCATCATTCTCAAAACATTTTCTTTCCACTTGAGCCCTTGGTATCAGCTCCTCGTTTTTCCCCTCCCATCCCCATCCTCCCTCCCTCATGAACCCTTGATAATTTGCAGTTTTATTTTTCATGTCTTACACTGACTGATGCCTCCCTTCACCCACTTTTCTGTTGTCCATCCCCCTGGGAGGAGATTATAGGTAGATTACTTGGTTATTTATAATAATCCCTAGTCGTAATTAGTTCCTTTTCGATACTAAAAATTTGGGTCATTTTGTTATTGTTCATAGCACAGCTCTTTGTAGATGTTTTGGCTCATTGAGACTGTTTTGTTGCTGTTGTTAAATCAACAGGTGGGTTTCAATTTAGATTAAACTGCCTTATCCTTTACCATCCTCACTATCATTGCTGTGTTTTGAGCCCAAGGTCACAGCCATTGTACTAATCCACTGTGTGTCACTGGGATTCATGAGGTTTTCAATGGGCAGGTGTTTGTTAGTTTGTTTTAAAAAATAGTTCACCATGTACTCTTTCCAGTCTATCTTAGTCTGGAAGCTCTGTTAAAACCTGCTACCATGGATAACCCTGTTGGTATTTAAAACACTAGTAAATTAACCTCCAGCATCACACCAACAGACAAGCCACCACAGTCTGGCAAACTGACAGAGAAGTGATGGAAAGATTGTTCTAGGAATGGCTAAGCCACAAACTTCAGGCAGGTGGTATTCTCAGTAAAATCAAGTCAAGTTGGAATCATTGTACTTAACCTGGGTTTTTGTTTGTTTGTTTGTCTTCAGCTATGTCAGATGTTTTTCTCATGAACCTTCTATAGAATAAGTCCCATGCCTCTTAAGAATCCATACTTCAAAAAAAAAAAGAATCCATACTTCCATCTTTAGGTATATGATAATACATGTAAAATTTTACGTTCCCAATATAAGCATTAAATTTGTTTTTAATTTTTTGCTTTCAGTAGGATTCACTTCATGTTTTAGATATAGTGATTTAAGGCAGGGAATTTTTTCCTTTAAATGTTGAGAGCCCTAAGGGACAAGCAAAAGGAAGATAATTTTTCTTCAAATTTTATGGAAGTTGGTATGATAATGTTTTCTTTTCTGCCACTTTTCATGACTGTAGTACTTGCTGTATAAATGGAGTATAAATGAACACATTGATATGATGTGTCAAAATTATTTTGCTGGGAGTGTCCCCCCACCCAAATAAAAAAAACCCTGCAATGGCACAGATTACATTTGAATATATGCTGTTTCACATTTGATCACAGAGCAGCCATTGTGTAGAGCTTCTCTTTGGTGTATATCTGCTGATCCATACCTTCTCCTTCACAATGCCTTTACCAAAGTTATCCATTCTCCATTGTTAACCATTCTTGATTCTATAGCCCTGGAGTCTTTCTGTTCTCAGCGCGGAGTCAAGAATCTTTTATTTCCCAGTATATATTCCTGGGCTTTTAGCACTGGTGGCATACTGAGGTATATGTAGGGTTGCTAACCAGAAGATCATCAGTTTAAATCCATCAATTGCTCAGTTGGAAAAACATGAGACTGTTGATTCCTGTCTCCGAAACCCAAGGTAGCAGTTGTACTGAGAACAGATCACCAAATCTTTTTCCCCTGGAGCCACTGGGCAGGTTCAAACCACTAACCTTTCTGTTAAGAGTCAAATGCTTAACTGTTGTACCACTGGAGCCCCTTTCTGTCATACAACTACTCTCCAGAGAAATTAGTAACTAAATACGGAATTCCCTATTGCCTATCATTTTGAGTCCTACTACACCTTCTATATCATTTATTGGCTTTCTTACTTAAAACATCCTTTCCATGTTTTTTTCCCATGTACTCAATGTATGTTGAATGTATAAGTCAGTCATCATTATATTGACAGGGTGAATCAAACATAGATCCTACATTACAGTGTGTTTGCCCAGGAGAGAAGATGTATGCAGAAGCTTTAAATAAAGAATAAAGATGGTACATAGCCAAAACAGTACAGATAACATGGTGTAGGAAGATAAAATGTGTTATATCTCTCAGGGTTTTGTCTTAAGTCATGATTATTTTTAGCAATTGAATTTTGAAATGGAAATATATCCTTGGAAGTTATATTATAAAGATGAACTCGTTTCCCAGAGAGAAACTGAGGTTTTATAATCTTGTTTGATTTGATTCTCAGTGGAAGAATCAGACATCATTGATCTAGAGAAACGCTACTGGTTACTGAAGGCTCAATCTCGGACTGGGAGATTTGACCTAGATACATTTGGTCCATTGGTTTCACCACCTATTCGTCTATCTCTGAGTGAAGGTAGGAATTTTTCCACTTTTTATAAATGTTCACTGGTAAACACATCTGAACTCACCTTTTATATATAATCAACACACTAACAATTTAAAGGTGCAATACTAGTGTAGGTTTGCAAGTTTATACTAGCAAACTACAGTATGGTGGGGGGTGGGTGGGGGCGAGTAATATGGAAATTAAGATTGTATTATATTCCAGGTCATTATATTATACCTAGGTAACCTTGCCTAAAAGATCCCTGGTGGCTCAGTGGTTACACATTTGGTTCTAATTGAAGTTTCCAAATTCATACCCACCAACTACTACTTGTGAGAAAAGAACTGTCACTCTGTTCCTGTAAAGAATACAGCATAGGAAAACCTATGGGACAATCTTACTCTTCTATAGGGTCACTATGAATTTGAATTGACTCAACAGCACATAACAACCACCACCACCTTATGGTAATCAGTTTAGTTTTCTGTACCTGAATATTTTTGTCAAAATGAGTGTGCTGTAAAACTATGCTCCAATAAGGTGCTTCAGTAGCTGATGCAGGGATTGGGGTGGAGGTTGAAGCTCTGAACAGACAGAGCTTTAGATTTCCACGATAACCCTACTTTTCCTGAGCCTTGGTGGCAGTGTTAATAGTACATCTTTCTTTTTAAATACTACTAGCTAAGAACATTATTGAGGAACCTTGGTGGCATAGTGAGTAGCATTGGGATGCTAACCACTATGCTAACCAGCATTTCAGTTATGATGCAAAAAAAAAGAAAGAAAGAAACCCATACTCCCTGAGGACAAGGGGAAGGAGTGTGGGAAGAAGCTATGCTTACATAAGCATGTTAGTGTTAATATTAGGAGGTTTGTTGGCTGTGGCTTATGCTGCCTCTCTTTCATCTGACAGGTTTGTTTAATGCTTTTGATGAAAATCGTGACAATCACATAGATTTTAAGGAGATATCCTGTGGGTTATCTGCCTGTTGCAGAGGACCCCTAGCCGAAAGACAAAAATGTAAGTTTGTTAAACCCTGTTGCACAAATTGCAAACCATGCAGAGAAAAAGAAAACCATACAGCATTCATACATATATAAAGTGATCTGTAGATTACATCTTGAATTTTCCTAACTTTGCCAGGTTGACACAAATTATCTTATTTTGAGATTGTACTAAGGTCAGTCTAAGGAATCAACCATCTATTCCTTTTTACCAAGCAGTAATTTGGGATCTTTGCTATACATAATGTTGATTTTCCTTAGAAATTTTTTTGGTACTCTAGTTAGAGAATTTTGTGTCTTGCATAATTTGAAATATAACTCATTTTTTGCCACTTGCATACTTTAATATTTTATTGGAAAAATGAAATTTATGATCAAAAGACAATTTTAAATGCTAACATAGTATTTTTAACCTAGCTAAAATTTTATTGTGACATAATTCAATAAGCATAAGTATATTACATACTAAGTCTAAACTATATTTGATAAAATGGAACCATTTCCATTTAATTAGGACCTAACTCAAAGATATTTATTAGTGTTATTATCTTCATGTCTTTCAGCTGTATCTTAACAAATGTTGCCTATTTCAGAAGTGGTATTTGATATTTTTACCTCATTTAATAATATCGTATAATTTATTCAATTGATTAAGTATAATTATTCTATTACGGGAGTGTATGAAATAGGCAATTAAAAAATCTATTATTCTTACTTTGCTTTTTGATAAATTAATAAATTTTATTTAAAATATTAACCTGGATATAAAACTTTATCTCACATTTAATCTTGAACCATATTTAAACCAAAGCAATTTTTTTTAATATTAAAGTTCTAATGTTAAGTAGAAGGCTGACATCTCCGTTCCTCAATTGAAGCTAATTAGTCACCTTTACAAACTTTAATTTTTTTCCTAACTGATGAACTAATGGAAATTAGCAAACTAGAATGATGCACTTAGAGATAACTAGAAAAATGGTGAGTTTCTTACTTAGCATGCTGTATATGAACTTCAGTGAAGAATTGATCTATACAGACAGTTAAATATACATTAGTTACATTGCAGAGACGAAACAAAAGCAGGCCATATTTAGATCAGCTTGTTCTTTTTTCTTTCTTTCTTTTTTTTTTTTTTTTGTACTATGGATGGAATATTTCTAGCCAGTAATTTAACTCTAGATTTAGCTGAAGGATAAGGTACCCAGCTCGGATCCTGGTTTAGACAGATCAAGCTATGAAATATGTACAAAAAGTCTTGTAAACTCAAGAAGTTTAATGGCACATGATAGCCTGCTCAAGATGAGACTTTAATCCAGAATGCACATACTTGAGAAAGTATGTAGTATAGTAGGGCAGCTTCTAGCAAATGTTTTGTCTTTCAGAACATAAAATAATTTCTTTCTGTAAGAGTTTGTGTTTTGTTTTCATTAGTTTGCTTCAAGGTGTTTGATGTTGACCGTGATGGAGTTCTCTCCAGGGTTGAGCTGAGAGACATGGTGGTTGCACTTTTAGAGGTTTGGAAGGACAACCGCACTGATGAAATCCCTGTAAGTTCTGAATATATCCATCTCGTTGCATGTAAATTCCCAATAGGAAAATAGGTTGAAAAAAAATTTTAAGAAAGACATGTTATTACTTTCAGTTACTGTATTGTGCTATTTAATATCTTCATAACTCCCCTACGTAAGTTACAATAAATAAGTAAAATTTTTGTGACTGATAATGCAGAGTTAGGAAGAGGTCATTTTGGCTTAGAAAACTTAATAAACTGAATTAACTGTGTAAAGTAATAATAAAACAGGAAAATTATCTTACTTTTTAAAGCAAATATAAGAATCCATGCTAAAATTGGGAGAGGAAACTATAGACTAAAATTCAATACATTTTAGCCACTGAATATTAAAAATGTTATTCTCTCTTTTCTAATAACACTTCTTGGCTGCTCTTTTTTTCTAAAAGGAATTACACACGGATCTGTGTGACATTGTAGAAGGCATATTGAATACGCATGACACCACAAAGGTGAGTTTAGCTAAGACTAGTGTATCCTCTCTAAGAATACCAGGCACTCCGAGTTGGAATGTATACTTTGTATATAATGTGACTGTCTTCCATATCATAATTAGCAAATACTTGTCTGGGTCTGTGATTAAATGCCTTGAACGTGTTGCTAAAATCACCAATTGCATCTATAAACAATTCTGTTAAATGTATGACATATAAAAGCCCTGTAAGTCATCACGATTCACATTTTAAGAAGTGGGCATACTATTAAAGGAAAGGAGTAAACAGAGTCATTGTGCCAAAAAGAATTAGAAATGCTTCGAACACTTTAAAAGGTATAACATTATTAAGAACCACTGGTACGGGGGTGGGGTGGGGGTGGGGGCTGCTAAAAGGGATCCGATATCAAGGAGTCCAGGAATGCAAAAGAATATTTGGGTACTGATCATAGTAGCAATTTTACAATACTGCTTGATGTGATTGAACTATTGAATGATATGATATATGTATTAACTCCAAATAAAAAAGAAAGAAAGAAAATAACCAATGGTATGGAATAAGTCCAGGAGGCTTATTCAAATTCAAGGTTTCAGAAATTGTGAAATTACTACTTAATATGTTTCTACAAACAAATACAATGCTAGAAGCACTTAGTTTTCTATGCCAAGAAATTTAGAAGATAACTCTCTGTTCACCTGACTGGATGTAATCCATATTTGTGCCCATTTCAAAGAAAGATGATGCAACAAAATGTGGAATTTTAAAAACAATATTAATATCAGACCTAAGTAAAATTTTACTAAAGATCATTTTTTAACAGTTGCAGAAGTATAGCAACAGAGAACTACCAGAAACATAAGCTTGATTAGAAAAGGACATGGATTGAACAAAATCTTTTTTTTTTTAATTATACGATATCATTTCTGCTGTCAGGTCTTGACTGGAATTAGAGAATACCAGAAAGATGTTTGCCCATGTTTTGTTGGCTATACAATATTGATTAAGGGTGGATTATAACAAATTATGGATAACATTGTGAAAAATGAGAATTCCAGAACATTTAATTATGCTCATGCAGAGTCTGTCTATAAACAAGAGGCAATCATATAAATAGAACAAAGGGGATGTTGTGTATTTTAAAATCAACAGCAGTGTATGCCAGTGTTGTATCCTTTCGCTAGATTTTTTTTCACTGTATGCTAAATAATCTGAGAACGGAATTATATGAAGAGGAACACAGCATCCATCACATTTGGAGGATGACTCATTAACAACCTGTGATACAAAAACAATACAACTTTTCTTACTAAAAGCAAAGAGGACTTAAAGCAATGACTGAAGAAAGTCAAGGATTACAGCCTTCAGTATTAATTACACTTCAATAGAAAGAAAATAGTTCACACAATTAGACCAAGAAGGAGCACCATAATAAAGGGAGATAAGATTCCAATTGTCCAGCGTTTTATTTTACTTGAATCCACAATCCATGCTACTTAATAAAAATAATAATAGAACGAAAAAAAACCTCAACTGCTATCTAGCGAATGCTGACTCAGGAACCCCTGTGGATTTCCAAGACACTAATTTTTTTTTTTTACTGTAATTATTTGCAGGAGTAGAAAACAGGGTTTCTTCCAAGGAGCTGCTAGTGGTTTCAAACTGCTGACCATGTAGATCACAGCTCAACATGTAACCACTACACCACTAGGGCTCTTCAGTAATAGAACATCTGTAATTTATTATCTTTGTTTACTATGATAATGAATTGTTATTAAGCTTAGCATTATATTGCACAAAAGCCACACAAACCTAGCATATTATTTCATTTATTTAGACTTCCAAGAACAAGTAAAACTAGCAAAAGATAATAGAATAGTGGATTCAGGAGTTGAGGAATTAACTGGGAAGGAGCATAAATATATGTAGCATTCTCTCCAACAGTACTAGCCCTTGTTTGTTTGGGCTAAAATTTCATAATGAGATAAACATTATCGGAGCTTATCTGTAATTTAAGCTATATGGTCCATATTCCTTTTTGCCACATTGCCCAAGGTATAAATATGATGTGGCAGAGCTGTATATCCTGTTTTGTTTAGTTTTGTTTTAAGAATTAAATTAAAATATTAGACTCAAATGTTATTCTTCATATGAGAGTATAAAGGGGATGATGTTAGGTACTGTGAAGACTATTTCAACTCCGTGACCCTGTACCCATCAAAACCAAATACTACCCTAGTCCTTCACCATCCTCACACTTGTTACCATGTTTGAGCCTACTGTTTCTTCCACTGTTTAATCCATCTTGCTGATGGTCGGTCTCTTTCTCTGACCCTCTCTTACCAAGCATGATGTCCTTCTATAGGTTCTCGTCCCTCCTGATAACATATCCAAAGCACACGAGGCAGGTCTCCCCATCTTCCCTTCCAAGAAGCATTCTGACTACTTCTTTTTTTTT